TAAAATGGGTTAGTAGGTCTGCTAATTCTTTGGCTGATGCTCTAGCCAAACAGGGGGTTTCTAGGGAAGATCTTTTTTTTGTGCTTCTATGTAAGTTGTTATTAATTCGGAAATCTGTACTTAACCAGCCCGGAGAGGTTGCAACTCGTACCTTTCCATGAGGACTTTGTACTATTTTTATTGCTGATTTATAAAATCATTTCAATTATCAAAAAAAAAATCTTATCATTATTTCTTAAAAATCTAAGTTGAAATTTCATCATTTATTGATGTAGTTTGTGATTTTATAGATTATGACTAAAATGAGATTCCATAAAACTTATATATGGTACATATTTGTTATTTTTGTTGAATATGCCTAGAAATTGCCAAATCACCTTTAACCAAACTAAGGAAAACATTTTGACCATGTGATACCATAACTTCCAGTAACAATCCTTGGGCTATGTGCCATTACTAGCCAGAAAAATGTATCTACCTAAACTTACCGTTACCTGCTAGAAACCTCATTCAAATACATGCATGCAACCTGCCTTCAACAGCTTGTAAATGAGATAAAACTAAATGAGTAAGCATTTCACCATTGGAGCTCCAGTTTCTACCCTACCGTTTTGAGATATGTGTCCAAAAAAATTGTCCCAACATCTCCATCCAATTTTATTTCAATTGGAAACCCTTATAATACAAGCCATCAACCATGCAAGTGGTTTCGATGTCCCATCACATCAATCTTCTAGATCTAACTATTTATCATTGAAGTCAAACATCACATAATTACTTGCAGCATTTGATGATAGACAAACAGACAGACAAAGAAGATGTCTTAGTTAACATATATCTCCACTTTACAGTGCCATGAATGCTAGTAATCATGCACAATTTCATCCAGGCTTAGTTAGCCGATTCCAGTATCTCGAATATACTTCTCTTCCCAGAAACTAATCTTTTTGAATTCAATATCAGAAAGCAATTGGGGGCATCCGTTTAGTAAACATGGCATGCCCTCCAACATTGATATACCACATTTTTACCTTTGACCTCCTTTGTTCATTATTATTAACTCACCCTCTGGAAATTCAACAAAAAGAGGACCAAGTCATAAATCCCACTTAACAACCAAATAAGATAGGGCAGTTACAGGCATAAGATGAACTCTAAGCAGCCAGTTAAACCACAATAGCCTTCCAGAAGAGAGAACCATAAAACTCTTATCCTAGAAATCTCCCGAATAAGAACAAACAGAAGGGAATAATAAGAAACAATGAGAGTTTTCATTGAGGAAAAAAAAAATAGTGTTCAATCGAGAAACAAATGATATACCTTATCAAGACCAACGGGCCCAAGCGACGATTTTACAATGTTCGCAACTGCTTGACAGGCCACAACTGCCGATATTTGAAATCCAGAAGCAACAAGAGAAACGAAACAAATAAAAAAGATTTCTATTAGATTTCAGGGAAATGATGCAAAGAAGTGCATTAAGCTTTTAGTAAAAACGACTAGTGAAAAAGAGGAGGCGCCATTAACAAGTAACCTCGTCCTCCAGACGAACAGAAATGAATGAAAGCATACCATTTTGAGTCCGAACGTCCTGACCGGACTGTCGCTCTCCCATAATATCAGGAGTTTGTGCAGCAATCGCCATTTAGGTGGTGTGAACTAGGAAGCTAAAGAGCTTCTTCTGAGAGTAAAGCGACTCAAAGGACAATAGAAGATTTCGCAGAAACCCTTGAGGCCTTCGATCAGCTGATTTCCAACAAGAGATCAGTATACTGCGAAAGTGCGAAGCACGAGGACCGGAGGCGGAAAAGAAGTGAAGGGAGGAACGCGCTTGGGCCTTGGGAGTGTCTCGAAAGTTCAAGCGTTCGAGGGCACAGAAATAAGCTCGCAGTGACCAGGGAGGCAGAGGGTATGTTTGCAACTCGGACCGGGTTTGGACGCTCGGTGGGTTTTTTAGGAATTTGCAGTCTTAATAAATAAGCTCACTCCGTTTATTTTGTTAAAAACCGAATCGAATAAATCAAAATTTTAAAAATCGAATAAAATGTGAAAATCGAATTTAAAAATCGAAAACTGAAATAATTGAAATCTAAAAGAGCAAATTCTCTTTTTTCTAGATTTTTCATTGGACGTTTTTACCCCTCTTGTCTAAGCACACAACCGGCATAAAGAGAGCATATATATCCTTTATTCTTACTTCAGAAATTGCCCACTCATAACTATTCAGAAACTACCCACTTGTAACTCAAAACTGTTTAGAAACTACCCATGAATTATAAATAGTTTTGTCTTATAGATACTGTCACGTGCAAATGCACGTACACGTTTACTAGTATATTATATATTATAATATATTATGAAATTGAATTTCATTATAATACATTATATATAATATAATAATATATAATTATATAGAATATTATATATTATATGTTATATATTGTATATTATATATTACATTATATAATGAATTGCGGCTAATTCGTTTTTTTCGATTAATCGAATTTCTAGCTCTGAAAACCGAAACCGAAACCAAAATTCCTAAAAATCAAACTAACCGAACCGAATTACCCAAAAGTCGAAATCGAAATTTTCAGTTCGATATTTTGGTTTTAACCAAATAATGCTCACCCCTACAAGCCATCTCAAAATTGAGGAATTATTTCCAAAGCCTATTTTACATATAGCTCCCCACTATAAACAACATCTCAACATGTATTTGGCATCGTTCCTCGCTCAAGATTCACCCCAACAATAAGATAGGACTATTAGGTGGAGTGTATCATGAAAACCCCTTTTGGGGGGCAAATTTCTTAAATTACCCTCATTCGCTTTTTGGGATGTTACTTTACCTAGGTAAATGTTTCCCACCTGGGTAAGTGCATTTATCCATGTTCTTTTATTAAACAAGTAAATAAGACAATGACGTTTTAGCCATAAAAAGTCATTATTAAAAGGGACAATTTTATCCTATCCAAGTGTTGTCAACTTCCCCCCAAGTAGGAAAGTTACTTACCTTGGGAGATGAATATCACTTACTCAGTAAGTGATATCCAAGAAAATAAATTTTTTATGGGTTCCGCATAAATCTGAAAAAGTAACATGGGTATCTTGGTTTATGTGAACCAAAATCCCATTGACCAACTCCCCCCCCCCCCCTCAAAATCCAAAACACAATGATGAATGGGCTTATAAACTTGATTGAAGTTGAGTCTGGTCCAAGTGTTTTTAGTGAGGAATTGTCTTTGTGGTAGGTTTGTGTTTTGTCTCTATCTTTGTTGCTTTGTTGAAGTTTTCTTTATCAAGAACAAAGCTATATTGGATTATATTAATCCACTACTCTGAGAGACCACTTTAATGGCATTTTTGTTGATTTGGTAGATTATTTATGTCCTTAATTTTTTGAAATCTTGATATGCTTCAATGGTTGAGATCATCTAGGATAAATATGTAGGATGTTCCACAAACAGGGATCTATAAGCAAATTTGATAGAACATTTACAATATTTAGTTGGTTTCCACAATGCTTTAATAATTATCAATGGATAGTTGGTATAATTTGTAGTATAGGATGAGCGGTGGATGGGTGGAATAGATCTTGGATAAGATCGTTCCACTTTTCATTTGGTGTCAAGAAATCACTCACCCAATCTTCATTCTCTACTAATGAAATATTTGGGTTGAGAATAGGGGATTTGTCCATCTTTAATCTATTAAGTTATACATTTATTCAACTATTTGTCTCCACCAACATAGAGAATAGAGAAAATTCTGGTACTGACCAAAAATTAACTTGTTCCTAAGATATTTATGGCTGATCACTTTTGCCCATAATAATGATGGTTCAGATAAGAATATCCAGAGTTGTTTACCCAAAAGTGCTTTGTAAATTATATCCATGCTTCTAATTCCATGGCTCCTTTGTTGTAAAGATTCTATTTGAATAAATGGAGTGTTTTTTGTGTCTCTCAGTGTTACATTTCCTCCAAAAATCTATTTGTATCAAAGTCTTCACCACGTTAGTTATGCTTGCATGTGACTTGAACTTAGCTTGCTTTCCAAATTGCCTTTATTCTCTATAAAAAATAGCTAATGCACAAGGCTCCTACCAATTCAGGGTCTAGGAATGGACAAGCATACAATAATACACAACGGTTGTATGTCCCCGATTGTAATGGAGCAACTCAACCGTTGTGCCAAGGCCCATGCTTAGACAATTGACTCCCATCCATTCATAATTTACTCCCCAATATTTATTTCAAAAATTCATATTCTTAATACTAATTGGCCATATTTTATTTGGTGTGGTCACATCTAAGAGAATTTTGTAAAAGGTAACTTGAAACTGAAATTAGTGGAGATCCTTGGTCACTCACACATAGACGACACCACACCACACCACATGCAACAAATGGACACTTTTATAATTATTCATCTTAACAACATCAAGAGTATGCAGAGAAAAAAGTATAAAGTTTTTATATCGTGGAGTAAGAAGCTAGTAGTGAATCTTGGCATAGATAAAAAGCTATTACTAAAAGGAAAGTGTCACCTGCCCTTGAGAGAAGTAGTCAAATCACAAGCTATAAGCTTGATTGTAAGATGGAAGAAGTACAAGCTGGGGCGAGCAAAGTGCTTATTAGGCCAGCGTTTTTGAATTTCTTTGGTAAGGTGTAGAGCTATTGTTCATGAACAAGTGAGAAGAGATAGCAGTAGCTATAGAATGAACAATGAGAAGGAAAAATAGGAAGCTATACCACCAATGATTGGGTTGTTAAGGATGAAGGAGATAAATAGTTGTTGTCTATATGTGGAAGTTCTCTCAGATAAACCACTGAATGTGGTGGGAGTTATGACAATGATAAAAAAAATGTGTGGTGTGGGATGAAAGAGCAAGCAAAGATACCATTTGGATCTCCTTTAAAAGAGAGAAAGATTTGTTGAATGCCTTACATAAGGAATCATGGTCTATGAAGGACTACCCCCTGCTATTAAGAAGGGGAGATCCTGGTAACAATCTAAGGGAGACGAACTTTCATTTCATTGATTCTTGGGTGAGAGTTCTTGAAGTGCCAATGGAATATAACACTCAAGAAACTAGAGAAATATTTGCCAAAGTAGTAGGGGAAGTGATTCAAGTCAGTCTAACAGATGGAAGAAGGAAAAGGGGAAAATCATAATGGAACAATGGGCCAAGAGTTCACGTGAGAATTGATGTTAGGAAACCATTTATGAAAGAAGCTCTTTGGGAGATAGAGGAAGGAAGGGAAAAGTTGTTCCCCTTTCAATATGAGAACATACCCATATTTTGCTACAGATGCGACCATCTTTGACATGAGGAAAATGGGTGTAAAGTTGAGATTGTGGATCCCACAAAAGAAATGGAGAACTTAACTGAGAAGATGAATGGTTTACAATGGACGAAAGCTATTTGAAGAAAAGAAAGTTGAAATATGTGCAGACTCAAATAAAGTTGGCATATTGGATGAGGAACAAATTTTGGGTTTAGAGCAATTTTGAAGATTCAGGTAAAGAATGAAAGGGAATGAATATGGGACTAAACCTATCAACTACATGCATAAACCAACATATTGGTGGGGAGAACCAAGAAGTTAGTAGGGCTTTTCTATAGGGTAATCTCCGAAGGGCATAAGGAAAAATAAAGGAATGAAGAAGGCAATCCAACTCTAGAGGTTATGCAACACTCGAAAAGCGACATCAACTTCAAAGAGATCGGTTGTAGAAGTTTCAGTTGCAGATCAACAACAAGAGAAAGGTACACAAATGTTTTCTAAATTTTATATCTTTCCAAACATCCATAGTTGGTCTGAATGAGGAAGGTGAGAGTGTTTTCTTAAATATTCTCTCTATATGGAAATCGATCTTCCCACTATCATCAATTAAGCAAAACATGAGAAAGGCCTACATAGAAGATCCTATAGCAGGGGTCCATCCTGGTAATTCTATGAATTCATGCAGGTTATAACTAATCAAATTGAAACCTAGAAAAGGAAAAAATAGAGCAAAAACCTTAGACTAAGGAACGGTATCTAAATGTGATCAAAATAGTGTGATTTGAAGAAGACTATCTTCTTGTAGAAGACAAAAGCTGAAAAATATGATGATCTTCTAGTAAGTAATTAGTGACGAGCTAGGAAGACAGTTTCATAAGTTTGGATTCAAAAGCTTGACCCATGGATACAATAAATTCACTATGGGTAAAATAAGAAGTAAAAGACAAAGAAATTTTTTGGTGTGTACTTTTTATGGGTAAAATAAGAAGTGAAGCACAAAGAAATTCTTTGGTGTATACTTTTTATGGGTAAAATAAGAAGTGAAAGACAGAAATTTTTTGGTGTGTACTATTGAAATACAAAATGAAAAGAAAAGAAAAAGGATGATATAATTATACCGCATTGTCTATCTAATGGGGCTTGCATGAGCTGGCCCTCAACAACTCCATCAGTGGAAATGAAAATTTGGTGTTGGAATTGTCAAGGATTAGGGTCCCCCATGACAATTCGTTCAACAAAAGAGTCATTTTAAGTGGAAAAACCAGACATTGTTTTTTCTTCAGTGAAACAAAATATATCATTGTAAATTGTAGAAAGATCCTCATGAATCTTAGAAGTTGGAACTACTAGGGGGTGGATTCAGTGGGCAAATTTGGTGGTTGGCTCTCTTCTGAGATGACTAGACTATTGTTAAATTTTAGCTACAAATAGGTACTTTATTCACATTAGAATTGAAGAATTAGATGACAAATGTTGGTGGTGTACTCTAGTGTATGGATAACCAAGAAAAATTAAGAAAGACTTTCCTTGAGAAGATGAACCAAATTGCTACTTCGATTAAATGTGCTTGGTGTTGTATGAGTGATTTCAATTTGATTTTTGACGTAAAGGATAAGATGGGTAGGAATCAAGTGAAACTTGGGGATATAAA